GCGGCGCGATCGTCTTCGTTAATTTAGGGTGGCGCAAAGCGCCGTTCTTCGGCCCGACAGGTGGTCGGTCGGGCCGGTAGTAACGAGGTGCATCTGCGCCTCGTTACAACATTTAAATTCAAATTTCAATTAAAATTAACTTAAAATTTAAAAATGTAACCTTCGGTATCTCCTAAACGGCTCAAGATACAGGAACGCGCTTTTGCCTCAATATAGTCCTGTATCAACCCTATTCTCACCATAAATCTCGACTCTCAATTCCCAGTAGAAGCGGAGATATGAACATTTAAATTCAAATTTCAATTAAAATTAACTTAAAATTTAAAAATGTAACCTTCGGTATCTCCTAAACGGCTCAAGATACAGGAACGCGCTTTTGCCTCAATATAGTCCTGTATCAACCCTATTCTCACCATAAATCTCGACTCTCAATTCCCAGTAGAAGCGGAGATATGAACATTTAAATTCAAATTTCAATTAAAATTAACTTAAAATTTAAAAATGTAACCTTCGGTATCTCCTAAACGGCTCAAGATACAGGAACGCGCTTTTGCCTCAATATAGTCCTGTATCAACCCTATTCTCACCATAAATCTCGACTCTCAATTCCCAGTAGAAGCGGAGATATGAACATTTAAATTCAAATTTCAATTAAAATTAACTTAAAATTTAAAAATGTAACCTTCGGTATCTCCTAAACGGCTCAAGATACAGGAACGCGCTTTTGCCTCAATATAGTCCTGTATCAACCCTATTCTCACCATAAATCTCGACTCTCAATTCCCAGTAGAAGCGGAGATATGAACATTTAAATTCAAATTTCAATTAAAATTAACTTAAAATTTAAAAATGTAACCTTCGGTATCTCCTAAACGGCTCAAGATACAGGAACGCGCTTTTGCCTCAATATAGTCCTGTATCAACCCTATTCTCACCATAAATCTCGACTCTCAATTCCCAGTAGAAGCGGAGATATGAACATTTAAATTCAAATTTCAATTAAAATTAACTTAAAATTTAAAAATGTAACCTTCGGTATCTCCTAAACGGCTCAAGATACAGGAACGCGCTTTTGCCTCAATATAGTCCTGTATCAACCCTATTCTCACCATAAATCTCGACTCTCAATTCCCAGTAGAAGCGGAGATATGAACATTTAAATTCAAATTTCAATTAAAATTAACTTAAAATTTAAAAATGTAACCTTCGGTATCTCCTAAACGGCTCAAGATACAGGAACGCGCTTTTGCCTCAATATAGTCCTGTATCAACCCTATTCTCACCATAAATCTCGACTCTCAATTCCCAGTAGAAGCGGAGATATGAACATTTAAATTCAAATTTCAATTAAAATTAACTTAAAATTTAAAAATGTAACCTTCGGTATCTCCTAAACGGCTCAAGATACAGGAACGCGCTTTTGCCTCAATATAGTCCTGTATCAACCCTATTCTCACCATAAATCTCGACTCTCAATTCCCAGTAGAAGCGGAGATATGAACATTTAAATTCAAATTTCAATTAAAATTAACTTAAAATTTAAAAATGTAACTTCGGTATCTCCTAAACGGCTCAAGATACAGGAACGCGCTTTTGCCTCAATATAGTCCTGTATCAACCCTATTCTCACCATAAATCTCGACTCTCAATTCCCAGTAGAAGCGGAGATATGAACATTTAAATTCAAATTTCAATTAAAATTAACTTAAAATTTAAAAATGTAACCTTCGGTATCTCCTAAACGGCTCAAGATACAGGAACGCGCTTTTGCCTCAATATAGTCCTGTATCAACCCTATTCTCACCATAAATCTCGACTCTCAATTCCCAGTAGAAGCGGAGATATGAACATTTAAATTCAAATTTCAATTAAAATTAACTTAAAATTTAAAAATGTAACCTTCGGTATCTCCTAAACGGCTCAAGATACAGGAACGCGCTTTTGCCTCAATATAGTCCTGTATCAACCCTATTCTCACCATAAATCTCGACTCTCAATTCCCAGTAGAAGCGGAGATATGAACATTTAAATTCAAATTTCAATTAAAATTAACTTAAAATTTAAAAATGTAACCTTCGGTATCTCCTAAACGGCTCAAGATACAGGAACGCGCTTTTGCCTCAATATAGTCCTGTATCAACCCTATTCTCACCATAAATCTCGACTCTCAATTCCCTGTAGAAGCGGAGATATGAACATTTAAATTCAAATTTCAATTAAAATTAACTTAAAATTTAAAAATGTAACCTTCGGTATCTCCTAAACGGCTCAAGATACAGGAACGCGCTTTTGCCTCAATATAGTCCTGTATCAACCCTATTCTCACCATAAATCTCGACTCTCAATTCCCAGTAGAAGCGGAGATATGAACATTTAAATTCAAATTTCAATTAAAATTAACTTAAAATTTAAAAATGTAACCTTCGGTATCTCCTAAACGGCTCAAGATACAGGAACGCGCTTTTGCCTCAATATAGTCCTATATCAACACTATTCTCACCATAAATCTGGACTCTCAATTCCCAGTAGAAGCGGAGATATGAACATTTAAATTCAAATTTCAATTAAAATTAACTTAAAATTTAAAAATGTAACCTTCGGTATCTCCTAAACGGCTCAAGATACAGGAACGCGCTTTTGCCTCAATATAGTCCTGTATCAACCCTATTCTCACCATCAATCTCGACTCTCAATTCCCAGTAGAAGCGGAGATATGAACATTTATATTCAAATTTCAATTAAAATTAACTTAAAATTTAAAAATGTAACCTTCGGTATCTCCTAAACGGTCAAGATACAGGAACGCGCTTTTGCCTCAATATAGTCCTGTATCAACCCTATTCTCACCATAAATCTCGACTCTCAATTCCCAGTAGAAGCGGAGATATGAACATTTAAATTCAAATTTCAATTAAAATTAACTTAAAATTAAAAAATGTAACCTTCGGTATCTCCTAAACGGCTCAAGATACAGGAACGCGCTTTTGCCTCTATATAGTCCTGTATCAACCCTATTCTCACCATAAACTCGACTCTCAATTCCCAGTAGAAGCGGAGATATGAACATTTAAATACAAATTTCAATTAAATTAACTTAAAATTTAAAAATGTAACCTTCGGTATCTCCTAAACGGCTCAAGATACAGGAACGCGCTTTTGCCTCAATATAGTCCTGTATCAACCCTATTCTCACCATAAATTTCGACTCTCAATTCCCAGCAGAAGCGGAGATATGAACATTTAAATTCAAATTTCAATTAAAATTAACTTAAAATTTAAAAATGTAACCTTCGGTATCTCCTAAATGGCTCAAGATACAGGAACGCGCTTTTGCCTCAATATAGTCGTGTATCAACCCTATTCTCACCATAAATCTCGACTCTCAATTCCCAGTAGAAGCGGAGATATGAACATTTACATTCAAATTTCAATTAAAATTAACTTAAAATTTAAAAATGTAACCTTCGGTATCTCCTAAACGGCTCAAGATACAGGAACGCGCTTCTGCCTCAATATAGTCCTGTATCAACCCTATTCTCACCATAAATTTCGACTCTCAATTCCCAGTAGAAGCGGAGATATGAACATTTAATTTCAAATTTCAGTTAAAATTAACTTAAAATTAAAAAATGTAGCCTTCGGTATCTCCTAAATCGCTCAAGATACAGGAACGCGCTTTTGCCTCAATATAGTCCTGTATCAACCCTATTCTCACCATAAATCTCGACTCTCAATTCCCAGTAGAAGCGGAGATATGAACATTTAAATTCAAATTTCAATTAAAATTAACTTAAAATTTAAAAATGTAACCTTCGGTATCTCCTAAACGGCTCAAGATACAGGAACGCGCTTTTGCCTCAATATATTCCTGTATCAACCCTATTCTCACCATAAACCTCGACTCTCAATTCCCAGTAGAAGCGGAGATATGAACATTTAAATTCAAATTTCAATTAAAATTAACTTAAAATTTAAAAATGTAACCTTCGGTATCTCCTAAATGGCTGAAGATACAGGAACGCGCTTTTGCCTCAATATTGTCCTGTATCAACCCTATTCTCACCATAAATTTCGACTCTCAATTCCCAGTAGAAGCGGAGATATGAACATTTAAATTCAAATTTCAATTAAAATTAACTTAAAATTAAAAAATTTAACCTTCAGTATCTCCTAAACGGCTCAAGATACAGGAACGCGCTTTCGCCTCAATATAGTCCTGTATCAACCCTATTCTCACCATAAATCTCGACTGTCAATTAACAGTAGAAGCGGAGATATGAACATTTAAATTCAAATTTCAATTAAAATTAACTTAAAATTTAAAAATGTAAACAGCATGTGTAACAACATATGTAAACAAGTGTTATAGTTGTTTCATGTCTCCCTTAAAATCATATAACTTTTGTCTGAAACATTTTTTCCTAAAATATTTAGTTTTCGAGAAATTTTTCTGGTCCGGGAATTTTTCCTCACCCTCTATATATTATAAAAAGGTAGTAGATTTAGATACCATCCAAATTTGTCGTTTTTTCATTCCCGTCTTTTCACGATGCTCGCGCGTGTGTTCAATAGAAATTTCATTCATCGATTTCGCGCATTGACCTTACACGGCGATTGGTGTTAAATATTAAGATTTTCGGTATAGTCGTCGAGGATGAGTGAGGCCAATAATGCGCGCGGTCACGCACACTCACACATACACACTCATACGGTCGATCTATCAAGCGCACAATCGTCCAGTTTAATTAAACGAGAAAGAGCATAAGTGGTTCGATTGCGACGGCTTCGTCATTCTTCGCGAGATGTTAATTAATTAATATCGCGCGTCGATCGTACCCTGGACATTACAATTCGCTCGTAAATGCGCTCGGCTCGGCTTAAATTGGATCGACTGCGCCGATGGTCAACGACGTCGTTTGTCATCGTCGATGCCCAACTGCGAGAAGCATCGTGTTCGCATCGTTGCAATTGATAATATATATGATCGCGTTGGCGATTCCGGAGGTCGCCTATAGTAGCGATAGCGATAATTGAGTTTTCTCGCGGAGTGTCATCCATGCGAAGTGACTTCATAAAAATATGGCGCGTTCGCGACGACAGAGTCAGTTGGGTTTCCATTTTGATCCTGCTTAGGATACGTGTGACTTTCCACGATGTATCTCCTCGCGCTCATTCTCGTTCCTGCGATAATATCGGTAAGAGACAAATTGTAAATCTCCGGCAAATTGTAAATCTTTAACAATACGCATAACGTGTCGAAATTGCGTCGAAAGTAAAGAGATAGCGGAGTCGCGTTATTTCGAGTGAACATTGACAATGTAGAATAACCTCAACATACTTTTTTCTTATCCGCGATGCTTTCGTTGTAATAAATGCATCTTGCGTATCGTGCGTAATGTTCACGGGATAATCTCAAAAACGTTCACGGTGACAAATTATGTAAAAAATATTGTGCAGTACGTTATACTGACGGCGAAGGGTTCTATATTGGAAGACATCGACTTTCTGAGAGATGCCGATGTGAAGAGTATGAGTCAACTTTCTGGAAACAAGCACGATTCACTGCCCGCTCACTTTTATGAGCAAATGTATCGTCATGACAGCGAGGATAGGCACGATTTTCCGTTTTATGTCGCTCGCAGACAATACGGCAGCGGGAATAAGTACGATCCACCACCCTATTACTCACGCAGGCAGATCGATAATTACGGCAACGGAAATAAGTACGATCCACCACCGTACTACTCTCGAAGACAGAGTGACGACGGAAGCAAGTACGACCCGCTACCGTACTATTCTCGAAGACAGAATGACGACGGAAGCAAGTACGACCCGCCACCTTATTACTCACGCAGGCAGATTGATAATTACGGCAACGGAAATAAGTACGATCCACCACCGTACTACTCTCGAAGACAGAGTGACGACGGAAGCAAGTACGACCCGCCACCGTACTATTCTCGAAGACAGAATGACGACGGGAGCAAGTACGACCCGCCACCGTACTATTCTCGAAGACAGAGTGACGACGGAAGCAAGTACGATCCGCCACCGTACTATTCTCGAAGACAGAATGACGACGGAAGCAAGTACGACCCGCCACCGTACTACTCTCGAAGACAGAGAGACGGCGGAAGCAAGTACGATCCGCCACCGTACTACTCTCGCAGATAGAATGACGACGACAGCAGGAACAAGTATGCTCCGTTTCATTACTGTTGTCGCAGGCAGGACGATGGATAGGCCAAAGGGAATATATACCATCTGCCACTTTATTATTCTGGGAGTTGGAGCTATGGCAAAGAGAATGAGCATAATTTTATCTTGTTTCCTCGGTACGATTCTCTTTTGAAGTAAATCAGCGAAAGTATTTCTGATTTCAATTAGATTTAAAGTATTTCCGATTCGAATAAAAGGAATTTATCATATTGATAGTCAATCAGTATCCACTGATTTTTAGAGTAGAAATATTTGCACCTTATTCCTTTGTCTTGTACTTTACTGATTCTGGCCATTGAAAATAAGATTCTACTACAAAATTCATAGTTGGTTTCAATATGGTTTGAATACTTTCTTCGCCGATGCAGCTTGAGACGTAGCTGATGGATCAGTTTGGGGATTGCTGTGGATTTGGGGAGGTAAAGCGTTCAGGCCGATTTGAAATCAAGCGTACTACAGTGACGACTGTACATATGTCACATTTGTGTTTGCAAGATTGCTCCACCATTAGTTGACTCTTTTAGGGAAATTTTATTGAGTATCATGCTATACTTATAACTGAACCGTCAGTTCTATAGTGCTTCAGCGAAACTGTACCAATTAAACTTTAGAAAATTCATCTAGCGTTATCTACACTAGAACACTGCAAGGATCCAATCAGGAAGATTGTCGTATGGTCGCATTTACGGTCTGCAACTCGAACTATGGTGAATTCGAAGAATATCATCGACTGTCTGCTCACCCTTCGCCTTATGTTTCCCAATGTAATGGTATCGTCAATCGTCGAACTTCAATGTCAATGAGAACGTCCTGGATGATCAGAATATCGTGGGATACATTTGGAGTATATTTTTGTGAAGATCTATAAAAATTCGAACGCGATACGGAAATTCCTTGCAAAATTTAATTTTGTCAAAGCGTGTTTATTACAATCGCTAGTTAAAATAGACGACACTAAGTAAACCCACGACAGTAAGTAAACCCACGAGGAATACTTATAATCAATATCTAATCAATTGTGAAACTTACTTTGACGGAACTTTTACTAAGGTTAAGTCGTTATTTAAAAATACCAAACACGTGCGGCAGCTGCCGAGAGAAAAGGAGCGATTGTAAGTTCCGATGTCGAGTTTTCGCGTAACAAGTGTTTCGAAACCGAATTTATATTCTCGTATCTTTTTCGCGTGTTTTTGTTAATACAGTGGAAACGTCTCTGTCTTTTATCTTTCTTTGCTCTCTCATTTTCAATAATATCGCACAATATCGTGATATTAAAGGTGCTTGGCTCCCGTAATTATAATTCGCCTTGTCCGATCTTATTTAATCGGTCGCATTTCAAATTGAGAAAGGTCGAAAACGAGCGCATGGTAATCGATCATATACATATGTGTATGTGTGTCTGCGTACATATGTGCCAGGGATATCCCATAATTATTTAATGGCCCTTCATGGCGGCTTATACCGCTTCAAAAAAAATTCAATCAGGTGCATACACGTGATACGAAATTACTTAGTGATCGCCGTCGGCAACGAATGTTTGCACACATTAATAGCAACTATGGTTTCTGCCATGGTAGTCCGCTCTTGTTATATGACGTATTTATTGGAGGTTCGTGGTGATACAACTGTGCATATGATAGAAAGAACTACTCGAATGTTGTCCTCTTGATTAACACGAGTTGCTTTATTACACGAAGGACGCATAAGATTCAAATAAACCAGATTTCTATATTCTTAACTATCGAAAAGATGAACGTAAAGTAAAGATTGTAGTACTAGGCGCCGTAATCAATAAAATAAGAATAGGGCCAAAGCACAGACTTCTGCATAACGCATAATACACAACGCATAAGAGAATCAACCAATCAGAGTTCTTCATTTCCCTCCTCAGGACAGAAGTGAAGAACTCTGATTTGTTGATTCTCTTATGCGTTGTGTATTATGCGTTATGCAGAAGTCTGTGCTCTGGCCCTATTTATCTATATTATATGCAAGACAAGAAATAAAAAGAACCTAGAGAGCCTTTCATTGCGCACATCACGTTCTGTTAACAGCGCCGTTACACTAAGCTACTCAAGCGCACTCTATAGAGCCAAATAACTAATATAAGCTAACTACGAAGAAGAAATAGGCATAAAGAAAGAAAGATCGCGACAACTAAATACTAACTAACGCAATAATTAATATTGCAACAGTATTATCGGGCATGTCGAGTGATAATACCAAACAACTGAACCGGAAAGTTACAGCAGAGATTTACAATGTTTTGACTTATAAGATTCTTACGTATTTCAGGATATCAAAAAGAGAAAGAAAAGCAAGAAAAGGTAATGATATTTTCGAAACGGCAATATAAATATACTTGATTAAAGTTTCGTTAGCATTTAACGTAACAAGTATTTAGTTATTTTTACTTGTATGTTTTACTACTTTGTTCTTTTTAACAAACGAGGTAAATTTGCATACCATAAAAATCCAAGATATAGATATAAAATAATTTCTATTATTTCTAAGCTATAATAAATTAATTAGAATTCAGCGTAAGTATCTCGACATCGAAATGTTGGCGACATCGTGAATCGATAATCAGTAAGTAAGTGTTAGTGCATTTCTGCGCCAGAATCTCCCTCGGATATCAGCTCGTTAACAATTTCCGTTAACGAGCGAGTAATCGCTGGCCTATCAAGCGGTGTTATTAATAAGGATCGTCTCTATGACGAAGGATTTGGATCGCAAGAACCGATCATCGTGTATGGCTCACGTTAACAACCAATGTTGAAATATTACGGGACATGGGTGTGCGATGAATTGTTTCTTCATTCAAAGCAATTCTATGATAGTTGACAAAATTTTAAGAGCGTATTTTCTATTTCATCTAGAAACAAGACAGATATCGTAGACATTGGAGGCGCGAGAATAATTTTTGTTACATATGTGTGTAACATTAATATATAGGTCAATAATATAATAATATAATAGGTCAATACGACAGGTTGTCTGCTTCCATTTGAACGATAATGCAGAGGTTGCCGAAAAGGTCACTTGATCTTGTCAATAATGACATTTGCTCTCAATTATGACGAGCGCAACTGATTTTGCGCCGGAATCGTTTATGACAGGAGCTAGGCTTTATTGAAAATTCCTCATTAGAGGGTAGAATGCTCGTATTCTGAACTCTTTTTATCGAAAAAAAGTGGCTTATGAATTTTCTGATTTGCTGCAAAAATTCCGAAAAGCAAACGCTATTTTTAATAAAAGAGACGTCAAAATACAAGATTATGTACCGAAAACATATCGCTTTATAGTTATCATCGATTAAAACTGCGATCAATAATTTATGTTACGTTTCCGGTTGATTCATATGTTTGTTGAAGCAGTCTATTTAAAGAACTATGGAAGGTATAAGGTTTCTAAATATTCCTGTACCATTTTTTCTAATTTCCAATTCCTATCGAACTTTTCAATGCAAGAAAGAAATTAAAAAATTATGAGAAATAAAAAGATTTGTTGCGCTATTGACTCTATTAATTATTACTCTTATTTATTCTGCTTAATTTCGTGATATTTATTTCTCAGTTTTACTTTTTTAAACATTTTTTTTAATCTAATGAGGGTCGACCGCTATCATAAACAATTACGGTGTAAAATTAGTTATATTCATTATAGCTGGGAACACTGCAAATATCATTATCGACAAGATTAACGAGTGACTTTTTCGATAATCTCTGTATTATTGTCCGAGTGGGGTAGACAATCCGTCGTACTGATCTGTATGTTGATGTTATACCTTACATTTAAATCGACATACTTAAATAAGATTGTTGTCTGCGATTTCCTTGTAGCATTATCCTTCTTTCAAGCGCTCTCAAGTACCATTTTAAGCCGTTCATGTCTCTCAGTTTGGAATTTCAGACTGTTACCAGGGAAACTGCCGCAACATTGATTGACTTCGCCCATCAGATTTCGCTGAGGAGCGAAGGCGAGGGAGTCGATTCACCTGAGCGCGAGGGTTGAACTGGGGCAAATGAGGTGTTAATAAGTTTGCATCGTTTAGTTATTGCTTGTTGTTACAGATTTGAGAGGTACTGAAAATGACGGGATTTCGACGTGTAGATCCTATTAAGTACGGTATGTTGTGTCGCCCTTCATTTGATTACCGGTCAGCTGATGCTGAGCAGACGATATGATGGACCATGCCATCGAAAAATAAAAAAAATATCTTTTTAAAGGTTATTATTATTCAAGAAAAACCTAACGACAAAAAATGTACGTAACATAAGCTTTTACATGTAAAATTTATAAAACTTATCTTCTTAAACAAAAAGGTAAAAAGAGGCGCCAAGTACAAGCGCAACATGTATTGTTATTTTTAGAAATTTCAAATTCAAATTATTTTTTTCAAGGTATATACTACTGTGATAAAAGAATAAGGTGAATTTGTTTATAAAATGAAAAATCTTTATTTATTCTTCCAAATCAATTTCATCGCCTTCAAAGTACTCCCCGTCCGACACAATGCACTTATGCCAAGGTTTTTCCAATCCTCGAAACAGTCAGAGAAGTCTTTTTCCGAGATGGCCTTCAATACTTTCTTCGATTCGGCTTTTATCTCCTCAATCGAGTCGAAACGGTGTCCCCGGAGCAGTCTTTTGAGTTTGTTGTACAGCCAGAAGTCGCACGGTGCTAAATCAGGCGAATACGGTGGTTGTGGAACGATATGGGTCGAATTTTTGGCGAAATGTTCTCGAAGAACCAATGCAGTGTAGGACGGTGCATTATCGTAGTGTAAAAACCAAGAATTGTCTGCCTCTTCCATAATTCTGGACTCTTGAGGCGAATAGTTTCACGCAAACGACGCATAACACTCAAATAATATTCCTTGTTAACAGTTTGATTTCCTTGACGTGGCTTTCATCGGTAGATGTTGATGGTCGTCCGGGGCGCTGTTCGTCTTGAACTCGTTTTCGGCCTTCTTTGAAGTCTTTGTACCACTTGTAAACATTTTTTGCGACATAGGCTTATCACCAAAGGCCTT